TAAATAATAACCAAACTTTATCCATGTTTATGGAAAACAAATAAATACAAAATAATTAACAGTCAAATCTTACCTTCTCTGGATATTTGGTTGCACTGTATCTTTCTCTTAGATATTGGGATACAGAGTCCACTGCAGTTTGATTCTTGGCAAATATTTCTTTCTACACTCACTGAGAAACAGAGAAACTGTGATAATTATATTACATGAAGAACTATCAAAATATATTGAAAACCTAATGATATAACCTGCTATGTATACTTTATGTTAGATGTGCCAACCTGGTAGGTAATCAACTCATATTAACCCATTGTAAGACTCTTTAAAACAAGCTTTGTCATGAAAATGACAGTTTAAGATAAAACTAAATTATTATTTTAAAGATATGGTCTATTGTGATAATATATGCTGGTTTTATTTGATACAATTTCAGCACATTTATATGATATTATAGCCACTGGAAAAACAAAATGAACGTTACACAACAAATGATATTTGTTTTCTAAATGCAAGTTAAGAAGCTATGAATCATATATAAAACTGGATTAGAATTTCTTATTATCAAAACAATATAAGCATTACTGTATAATGACATTTGAAAACAGTTTTACCAATCCAGAAATCCCACATTTGTTACCATACACTGAGATACTGAAAACAGTTTTACAAATTCAGAAATCCCACTTTTATTACTGTACATCAAGATATTGAACAAATGTTATTAACACATGAAAGCATCTTTAGTTAATATAAGTATATATAACACTTGAAATGTTCTAGAGTTAATTATCATACTGTATTTTATGTTGAATCAAAAGCATTTTATTGATTCCACAATTTTAAATACATATATTGGACAGGCTCAGCTAATAAATCAAAATAATTACATTCAAAAATTTTAAATATTATTTATCTTAATAACATGTTAAATATTGCACATTAGTTACATAAATTACATGTAATATCATGAAATTATGTTACATTTAAACATTCCTTATCTAAAATTTAGATCCTTAAGAAGTTTTGCTAAGAAATAAAAACATTAAAGATTAGCATTTCTAAGCTAAATTTATTTTGCATGAAATGCAATGTAAAATTTCAAAAATCTTATATCTTAAATAGTATTCATTCTTAATAACATACCATATTAGAAAAGCTTTTTTTTCATATAAGTGTAATCAACTACACTTCAAATAATGCAAATTCTAATTCTATAACAAACCAAACTCATTACAAGAAAAATATTCCATATTCTAAATATCATACAAACATAGACAAGCTCTGCATCTGAACTGATAATGTATTTAGATAGATACTCACCCCTACTCACATCTAGCTTACCCAGTTCAGTATCACTCTCTTTGTGCAAACTTTTTCACTCATCACTACCCTTGAGACTTACCTAATCTCAAATGTTTCTAAATGATATTGCTGCATTGTAAAATGCTCATTTGCATGCAACAACCCTCCACCAATAAGAGTGCAATATTGCCTCCTAATGCAGCTGGCTCCATCTATACTGACCATTCAATCATCTCTTCAAAATTATACTCTTTGCCCAGAAAGGAAGACAAGCATCACAAGGATGGGTGGAAGATATAAGCCCACTCCAAAACCCACATCAGAAGCTATATGTGTAGTGTGGCTAGGGTGCATCGGACTCCACATGGTGGATCAACTTCAGTTCAAAACCAGGTAGAACCTGGAATTCAAAATCCAGGCTAAGGTAAGAGAAATGTCCTTACCACCTTCATCTAAAGCTCAATGAGTCAAAACAGGAAAGTAACATCTGCCCTGCAACCGAGTGAAAACTTATGTTGGCTAGTCCTGTGCCAATTTAACACCAGACCACCTGGGGATCCAACCTCAATGTAGCAGTAAGATGGATAATGGCTAGCCAGAGGGGTGAGCTGTACTACGTGGGCAGAACACCACCACCCTACCCTCTACTCAGTAGAACTGGTTATACTCAGGAGATAGAACC